CTCCTAAAACATATCATTTTGAATTATGTTACAAAATTTTTAATAGTCATTATCCTAGTTATAAGACCCCCATCATTTTGTAATTTTAAAGGTGACAAAAGACAGATAGCTCTTTGAAATATTCATGTAACAAGAGGCCCACGGGCCTTATAGGTCACCTGAGTATTGTGTAACAACTTTCAAACAATTACCTTTGGTTTGTGTTTTAAACCTGAGGCCATGAAATTCACAATTTTGAAAGAGGCACCATTGTTTATCATAATTACGTGTATAAACTTTGCACGCTTACTCTATTTACTTAATACCCAGAGGTATATCAGAGTAACAAAGAGAAAATGCACTTCCACTTTATAACCAGTTTTGCACCTCACTTCAAAGGAACCACTGGCCCTGGGGCCACATACCTGGTATTTCCAAATTTTGCCAATTTTATCATAAAATTGTTGATTAATACCAATGAGCAGATTTCAAAGCATTAATTTATTTTCCGACTTTGTAACCCCCCCCCCCTCTGGACCCAGGGGGGCATAAAAAATAACCATTTTGCTAGATGCACCTTTCTTCATTATAAATATACATATTTGGATCATTGGCATAAAACCCAGGAGCAAAGGAAAAGATTTTCAAAGAATTAATTTATTTTCACTATATAATCAATAGAGCCCCGCCCTAACACCAGAACCCCTGACTCTGGGGCCATAAAATTCAAAAATTTGGAAGAGGCACTCTTGCTCATCATAACTATGTACTTAGTTTGTTTATTTAATACCCAGAAGCAGAGAAGACTTTCAGAGAATAAATTATGCATTTTCACTATTTAATCAATAGAACCCATCCCTAGCCCTAGAACCCCTGACCCTGAGGCCATAAAATTCATAATTTTGGAAGAGGCACTCTTGCTCAATATAACTATGAACTTAGTTAGTCTATTTAATACCCAGAAGCAGAGAAGATGATTTTTGAAGAATAAATGCATTTTCATTATATAATCAATAGAGCCTTACCCTAACACCAGAACCCCTGACCCTGGGGCCATAAAATTCACAATTTTGGAAGAGGCACTCTTGCTCATAATAACTATGAACTTAGTTCAATTATTTAATATCAAGAAGCAGAGAAGATGATTTTTGAAGAATTAATGCATTTTCACTGCATAATCAATAGAGCCCTGCCCTAACACCACAACCCCTGACCCTGGGGCCATAAAATTCACAATTTTGGAAGAGGCACTCTTGCTCATTATAACTATGTACTTAGTTTGTTCATTTAATACCCAGAAGCAGAGAAGAAGATTTTCAAAAGAATGAATGCATTTTCACTATATAATCAATAGAGCCATGCCCTAATACCACAACCCCTGACCCTGGGGCCATAAAATTCACAATTTTGGAAGAGGCACTCTTGGTTATCATAACTATGTACTTAGTTGGTTTTTTTAATACCCAGGAGCAAAGAAGAAGATTTTCAAAGAAATAATGCATTTTCACTATATAATCTATATAGCCCCACCCTAGTACTAGAACCCCTGACCCTGGGGCCATGAATTTCACAATTTTGGTAGAGGACTCAATGCTCATTACAATCATGCCAACAGTTAGACTGCTTGATGTCCAGGAGTAAAGAAGAAGATTTTTAAAGATTGCACTAATTTTAGTGGTTTTGGCCCCACCCCTCAGGCCCCAGGGGGGCAGGGACCATGAAATTCACAATTTCTGTTGCCCTTCACCCATAGATGCTTTATGCCAAAATTGGTTGAAATTGGTTGAGCGGTTGCAGAGAAGAAGCTGAAAATGTTCAAATGTTAACACACGACGCACACCGCACGACGCACGACGACAGACGAAAACGGATAGCAATAGGTCACCTGAGTTTACTCAGGTGACCTAACAAGCCAATTCAAAGACCTGTGATTCCGTCAGCTTTCAGTGTTTTTTTGGATGAGATGCATATTGTGTTAAATGTGAATGACTTATCAAATGTCATCCAAGAATTATTACCATTTTATGAAAAATTAGGTCAAGCATGAACGTCAAGGGGTAAGAAATTACAGTATGCAAGCAATGGAAAATGTGTTACCACAGGTAATAAACAAGAAAAATAAATATAAAGCCCTATCTCTTCAAATCAAAAGTCATTAGGAAGAATTATTGTTCAAAAGTAGGTTAAAGTCTAAGCACAGGAGTCTGAAGTTTTTATCGTAAAAAAAAAAAAATCCGAAAAAAAATTTTCCTACCCTTTACTAAAGAAAGTTTTTATCGTAAAAAAAAAAAATCCGGAAAAAAATTTTCCTACCCTTTACTAAAGAAAACCCCAGGATGGCAACGTGTTTTGGGGGGACCCACCTAAACAAATAGATCTGGGCTTGGCCAGAAAAATCTCGCGACTTATTCAGTTTCCTGAGCGTTTTTGTTGTTTATTCAATGTGAAAAATCCAATCTGCTTGACGACTACGGGCTGTTCCTAGCCCTTTTTCCACTTTGACAGCTCGTCCTGGACTCCATGCCACTAAACCGGAAGAGAATCTCGCAGTGTATATTTGACGTTTATAAAAACTTGTTCAAATGAAATAAAATAAATAATTGTTCAACGTAATTTTATTCAGTTATTTTAAATATATTTAACAGAACTTTAAAAAGTTATTTATTCTTTTTCTTACTTGTACGACGATGTGTACCAGGGACAGATAATTCAGTTTTTACAAGCGCCAAATTTAAATCACTGAAAAGCCATGTCGACAAAGAGCCAAACAGTTCGACTAAGCGCCATTATAAAGCATTATTTTGTTTGAAAAATATATCTTTTTATTGATCACGTATGGTAACATAAAATTGTACATGAAGTTTTACATGCATTTTTGGGGGGTTCTTTTCTTCAATTACGTCATTTATTCACCTCGGAGTTCACTTCCGGTTTAGTGGCATGGAGTCCAGGATGAGCTGTCAAACTAGAAAAAAGGCTAGGAACAGCCCGTAGTCGTCAAGCAGATTTGATTTCTTAACTAGAATAAATAGCACAAACACTCCAGATACTGAATTAGTTGCGAGATTTTTCCGACCAAGCCCAGATCTTTTTGTTTAGGTGGGTCCCCCCAAAACACGTTGCCATCCTGGGGTTTTTTTTAGTTAAGGGTAGGAAAATTTTTTTCCGGATTTTTTTTTTTTTTTTTGGACGATTAAAACTTCAGACTCCTGTGAGGGTAGGAAAATTTTTTTCCGGATTTTTTTTTTTTTTTTTTTTTTTTTTTGGACGATTAAAACTTCAGACTCCTGTGGTCTAAGCTACCGAGGTCAAAAGTCATTGTGCATTAAGGTAGTACGAGTGTGAAATCAAAGTAATGGAAAACAAATGATTTTGGTATTAATGGATACACATATGTATAAGCAATACATGATTATAATATAAAGAAAAAGAGTGTAGCCGTTTGCCCCCTAGCGGTTGCCAAACTAAGGGAGGTAACTCTGTGTGATATTTTCCTTAAAAATACAGTCTGCACACCAACTTAAAAAAATAGGTCAAATATTATGTAAAATTTTGATATTCTAATTTCTATTAAACATGGAACATCTGTTCTAAAACTTAAAACAATTAAAAAAAAATTAACAAATTATAAACTGTGCTTGCGGCGCCACCTATGACGCGTAATTTTTTTCACCAAAATACTAAAGTTGTGGATCTTAATCAAATTATAAAACATAGACAGAGTAATGGAATCATAAAAAACAATTTATTTTCTAAAAATATAATAACAATCAATCAATTTGTCCAAATTTCAGAAAAAAGAGTGGAGTCATTTTGAAAATATTTAACCCGAATTTCCTCTGATCAGCTTTTCTCTGCAAAATTCTCATAAATACAACTGCTCTAAATTTGTCTTCATTTATGATACAATAAAAAATCAACTTAAATGGAAAATGAACATGGTACAATATTCTATAAACTATATATTACCTGAACAATATTCATTTGTTAAATATAAAAAGTCAATGTTTCATTAAATGTCCTCCATAGCCATCTATATTGTCCAATGATTCGACACAATGAAATATGAGGAATATGAATTTTTATCACAAATTTTACAATATGCAGAGAAATGGAAATAAAAAATGCATAGGTTTTACATGAACTAAAACAACAATCAATTATTGTGTCCATGTTTCAGAAAAAAGAGTGAAGCCATTTTGAAAATATTTCGCCAGAAATTCCTCTGATCAGCTTTTTTCTGCAAAATTTTCATGTTTACAACTTCTCTCAAAGTCTTGATCCTCATTTACATTTCAATAAAAAAAAAGATCTATAAAATAAAAATGAACATGTCACAATTTTAATGATCTATATATTACCTGAACAACTTCCATTTGTAAAATTAATTAAATAAAAAAGTTAATGTTTCACAATGTACATCCTTACAATGCCACCTAGAGATTGTCCATTGACTATAACAATGAGATATGAGAAATATGAATCCTTGTCACATATGTTACTATATGCAGAGTAATGGAAACAAAAAATGCATAGATTTTACATGAAATATGACAACAATCAATCAATGGGTCCAATATATATTCAGAAAAAATAGTGGAGCCATTTTGAAAATATTCAGCCCGAATTTGCTCTGAACATCTTTCCTCTGCAAATTTTTCATGTTTATGACAACATTTTTCCAATAACATTTCCAAATTATACAATATGTATTAAAATGAATATTGTACAGATTTTATGAAATAATATTATATCTGAACTTTCATTTCAAGTATATAAAACAATAATATCATGTATTATGAGTTCAGACATGACTTGACTAGTTTAAATAATGAAAGAGTGTCTAGAAAACCATGAACCTTTGTGACAATTCTTTCCATAATTTCACAAGACAGTATAATGCTTGAAAAAGTACAGAAACATATTAATTTCTTATATTATGACCAAGTACATGTACCACCACATTGTCATTGGTAGACAAAGAATCCAAAAAGCTTGTACATGTTGTAGGAGCTGTCCTTATGTTTACTGCTTTCACCTCTGTCATTGTGGTACATTTCCTTCCTCTCAGTCCTAGTTACAGTTATTTCTCTTACTTTTGGACAAATTGGAGTCTTTGGTTGTACATGTAAATATGTATTGGTTGAAGTGGTTTTCTCCATTGATAGGGGAAATTTGTAGTATATGTGTAGCATACGCTCTAGCTAAAATACAATAAAATAAATGATTTCATATTCATTTATTAAGGTAAACTTAACTAGAAAAGATATGGTATAATAAATGTGATACTCCCCTACCAAATACAACACAATACAAAAGAAAACATATAAGTGATGTATCATTACCATTTAAAAATTATCCACTAGACTTGACTTTTTCAAAAGTAAATCAAATTTCACACCCAGTTCAAAAGTTTTTCAAAAGTTAGTCAAATTCCATGATAAAGGTAAAAAAATTACCCATAAAAACCTATCGTTGCTGGTATTTTATGGTTATCATGAGAACTCCTCTGCAGCACATCCAGAAGCCTGCTAAGGTCCTTCCCTATTGACTTCATTGGTAGACGTATTCTGCTGCCTGTGAAATAACAAGGATATTTTAAGATTAACAAGTCCTAGAACAAGATATGTTTGTAAAACACTTATTGCTTCCTCTCCATTCTCCAAGATATTGGTAATTGGAATTTTTCTAAGTTGAGGGGATATAAATCTAAAAACAATGCCCTGATCTTACAAAACAAAGCTTGACTTATATAGTTTTATGATAAATCTGTATACCAAATTTCATTTCAATATGTGCAACCTCTGCAAAGAAAATAAACAAAAACTGGTGGTGAACCGACATGCAGACTTACCGACTGACTAACAGACAGCTGCAAAGCTGTATGAACTCCCGTAGCGTGTTACCGATATCATACCCGTAACTGGAAAAAAAATCATACCTGTGTGAACAAATGAATAAAGTATATTAAATTTTAACACAGTGACTATAGGTTTCTATAAATTTGATCCAATATTAATGATATCATAGGGTGGACTTTGCCCCCCTCCCCACTTTCTTTGTAAATATAGATAATTTCTATGCATTGAAAATTGCAGGGTTTTATACCTTTTTTGTTGGTTTAGCTGGTTTAGCCCACCCTCCCTTTTCAATTTGCTTCCTACACCCATGGATATGACCTCGAATGTGATCTTGACACTCACTATTGACTTTGAATTTTCTTGACTTTCCAGATTACTTATACATAAATGTAAATAAATGATAAGAAATTGTGCAATGTATTAAATGATCTTGAAATAAATTAAACCACATATTGACATAACATAAAAGTATGTGTTAAATTTATGCAGACCAACATATTTTTCTTCTCCACAACCCCAGCATTATTTTTTATATGCAGATTTGTATCTCTTATGGCCTTATCTGAATTATCACAATGTGTAAAATAGATGCCGCATTCAAACATTTTTGCTTGAAGATTTCAACACAATTTGAGTTCGTTTTATGAATCATTTTCATTCAATTTCAGACATATTTTTCAACAGAAAATTTCTCCTATTCATACATGAATCTAAACTTCTTCAAACATTTTCTTCAACTTACATTACAAATAGTTTCCTTGCAATCTTCGAGCACTTTGTTTACATGTAAAATGCCGGGTTATGTACTTTCTATTTCACAACGGGGAATAACTCTAAGATAATGTTATCAACAAAGCAACTTGAATCACTGAATCGTTCATAATACATTTGATTTCTCGTTGATATTAGACCTAAATTATGTGCAGCCTAATTCCAATAACGTTTATTTAACACATTGTCTAGCCTTTGGGATATATTATAAAACTGGCACTTTTTGATTAGACTGTCGAAATATGGGCACACAGTAACAGGTGAAAATTTGAGCCCCCGTAACCGTGTTTGGCGTGTTACATATATCCGATACTTTTTTCCTTACCGTTTTTTGAATAGACACTACTTCGACTTCTTCTTCTGATTGGTTTCTGTATCTTAAAAATCTGTTTGCGGGCGGCAAAGCTGCCCTTTGCACGTCCCATTTTTCGTTGTTCCTCATTTCGGGAAATCCAGTGCTGTCGTTACTATGGAGATCGGAAACGGGTCTGTTGTCGTAAAAATACGAGACGTATTCGATGACAATGCAGATATTTTAATATCCATTTTTAATTAAAAAAAAAATACGTAATAAAGTTGATTTTACAATATAATGAATTATTTAATTATGTAAAGTTAATATAAACTTTTACTGACATTACTTTGAACGCGACTTTCATTCCAATTTGTGTTATGTAAAATGCTCACACTCATACAACCTTAAGAAAAGGACTTCTTACAAGTAATGCACCTGTATACATGTACTTTGGAAGTTTTTAAAAGTTACGGGCAATTTTAATAAGTAATGTTTAAGTTTTCGAAAGTAGGTCAAACTTCAAAGTCACAGAGTCAAAACTCAAAGTGTATTTAAAAAGGTCTTATCACAAGTATACAACTTATTAAAGTCTTATCTTCTAATTTAAGAGATATGTTTTGGAGGAGGGGTAAAACTCTTGAATAATAAACATTGTATAGTAAGTAAGAAAGTTACTGAAAAATCCTTGTCTGCTACACAGTACACAAGCTGATGTGTCTTAGAGCAGGACAATTGTTGTTTCCATTTTTGTCCCTTATTTTTACTAAATGTGGGGGAG